TTTTCTAGGTTTGTCATAGCTTTTCTTCCAAGGAGTAGGTGTCTTTTTTTTTTTTTCCTTCCTTTGAATTTTAATTTATCATAAATTCTCAAATGTAAAACTTCCTGAACCAAGAGTAGGTGTCTTTTAATTTCATGGCTACAGTCACTTTCTGTATTGATTTCGGAGCCCAAGAAAATAAAGTCTGTCACTGTTTCCATTTTTTCCCCTATCTATTTGCCATGAAGTGATGGGTTTGAATGCCATGATCTTATTTTTTTTAATGTTGAGTTTTAAGCCAGCTTTTTCACTCTCCTCTTTCACTTTCATCAAGAGGCTCTTTAGTTCCTCTTTGCTTTCTGCAATAAGGGTGGTGTCATCTGTGTATCTGAGGTTATTGATGTTTCTCCCGTCAGTCTTGATTCCAGCTTGAGCTTCATCCAGCCCGGTCTTTCGCATGATGTACTCTGCATATAAGTTAAATAATCCCATCGTGGGGTGTAAATCTGCTGTTGATGCAGCTGGGAGGAGATTGCAGCTCTTCCTTAGTTGCACAGCCTCTGAGGCTCAGCGGTGGTTTCAGCCCCACCTCTGCATGTGGGTCACCCTCTGGTCCCTGCTCCCAAGTCTGCCCCAGAGCACATCGGCCCCCTCCGGCAGGGAGGGGCGTGAGAGCCTGTCCTGGCTGGCTCTGGAGCCCTTCCAGGTGTCTAGGAAGTTAGGGTCGCCCCTTGGGAGAAAGGCTCAATGGCGGCCCCACCCACTGCACATCACTCAGCAATGGGGCTTCGCTTGTTTAGTGGTCCCGGCTTCCTCCATGAGCATTCTCGGTTGCAGAGCTCCTCACTCCCGCCACCTCAGGCTGGCTCCTGGCAGCCAACGGCAGTCCTCTCTCTTGGTCTGCTTTCCAAACCCCAAGTTCCAGCACCCAACCCCTGTGCGCACCAGCAGACACGTCTCAGGCTGGGGCGTGGGGGGCTGTGGCCGGACCGTCTGCGCAGGTTTGTCTGTCCTGCCTGCCACTTGCTGTGTTCTCCTCCGAGTTTCCGAAGCCCCCCTTCTGCCCAGCTGATCTCCCTGCCAGTGAGGGGGCTTCCCCACATGCAGGAACCTCCTCTCCTTCAGCTCCACCCTCGGGGTTGTAGGTCCCATCCCACTTCCTCGTCCTTTTCCCTTCTTTCTTTCTACCTGGTTATGTGGGGATGTGCTATCTTGCCTCTCATCTACGTGTCTTTCTGAATTTGAGTTTCGTCTGGATGTGCACCAAGCAGCGGGATTCTTGGATCAGATGGCAACTCTATTTTCAGCTTTTTGAGGCACCTGCATACTGTGTTCCATAGCAGCTACACCAGCTTACATTCCCACCAATGTTGTAGGAGGGTTCCCTTTTCTGTACACCCTCTGTAGCATTTGTTATTTGTAGACCTTTAAATGATGGTCATTCTAACTGGTGTGAAGTGATACTTCATTATACTTCTGACTTGCATTTCTCTAATAATTAGCGATGTGGAGCATCTTCTCCTGGGCCTGTTGGCCATCTGTCATACTTGAAACATTTCTTTTGTACTGGCTCTCTGTCCTGGCCACAGGCCCCCTTCTCTGTTCTTTAGGGCAGCAGTCCCCAGTCCTTTCGGCACCAGGGACCGGTTTTGTGGAAGCCAGTTTTTCCACGAACTGGGTGTGTGGGGGATGGTTTTGGGATCAGTCAAGCACATTAAATTTATAGTACACACTTTATTTCTATTATTATTACACTGTGATGTATAATGAGATGATTATACAATCACCATAATGCAGAATCAGTGGGAGCCCTAAGCCTGTTTTCTTACAGCTAGACAGTCCCATCTGGGCGTGGTGGGAAAAAAGTATATTGCTTATATCCAATCTACTCCATAATCTCGTTTAGGTTGCTGTCACTGCAAAAAACCCTGCTTCATAAAGATGGGATGTTGGAAATGGAAGCAGGTTTTTCAGTGCTTTTGTGGAAACCTCAGGATGTTGCACGTTGATTTGAATCCAGAAAGTGTGGAGATCTGAAATTGTCTGAAACATAACTTTTAAGGTCACCATTGTTTTCAGTCTAAGGCAGTTGATTCTCTTCTAGCACAAAGTCAATTTTCCTGGCTTATTCACAAATGGGTTGTGGATCCATTCCTTCTCAGTTCGGGGGTCTTTTGTGGTTGGGAAGTAATGCTCAGACTCTATTGAAAGCTGAGATCGGTGATCATGCAACAGCTGGAAGGAAGAAGGCCCTGGCTCAGTCTGTTTCAAAATCTCTGCTAATGTCTGAAATGTATCAAAAATCCCAGTGTTCACTCATTGCCCGCATAACCCCGGTTTGGCTTTGAGTGCAGCCACTTTATCTGCCAACTTGAACACAGTTGTCATTCTACCCTGAAATGACAGATTGAATTCATTGAGCAGGTTAAATACATCACTCAAAGTAGGCAAGTTTTGTGATCCATTCTGCATCACTGAAATGTGGTGGTTTTTCCTAAAAGAAATTTCTGGAGTGGCTCTTGTAACTCTGGCCAGTGACCTTGTGTACAAGATATGTGTGCTCGGAGTCCATCTCCTCAGAGAGTTATGTGAACAGACATGAGTTGTGGGCAAGTGCTTTAATGTGGCTGGTAACTTAATCCCACCCAGCAGAACACTGTTAAGTTCAGGTGACTCTTTCAGATAGCCAGCGTTTCCCCATGGACGATACGGCGTGTAGACTCACATTCAGAAGCGAGCTCTTTGACTTGAGTAGTGAAACCAGAAAGCCACCCAGCCATGGCAGCTACTGCATTCATGCATGTATTGACACAAAAAGACCAATTCAGTTTTCCTGATAGGTAATCATTCAAAGATCTGAAATGTTCTGCAACTGTGGTGTGGTTGGCAACAAAAGGGCACATAACGTCCTCATACACATCCTCCTAAAAAATAGATTGCGCAAACAAGCACTTTGCCTTGTTGTCCAATTCGATAGACTCACCAACGTGGACTACGAACCATGGTGAGTCATTTATCCTAACAGCTGTGTTGGGCTCTCCTGGTGGCTCAGATGATAAAGAATCTGCCTGCAACGTGGGAGACTTGGGTTCGATCCCTGGGTTGGGAAGATTCCCGTGGAGGAGGGCATGGCAACCCACTCCAGTATTCTTGCCTGGAGAATCCCATGGACAGAGGAGCCTGGCGGGCTGCAGTCCGTGGGTTTGCAAAGAGGCAGACATGGCTGAGCAAGTAAGCACAGCACACAGCACAACATCCTCTAGTAATGTTTTCATCAGTTTGTCTAGTTGTGGCGCTGTCTGAAAGAGGAACATGTGCCACCATTTAAACTGCAGCCTCTCCTCTAAAAGTTCACAACAGTTGTCAGGCAGCTTCAGTCTTCACCAATAGTGAAGGGCTTCTTAACTTTAGCTATAAGGTTAGCCACTACAAATGATGCTCTCAGTACAGGTCTATTTGATGAAGTGAGTGGTAGCCTTCAGTGATTGCTTCTGTTCTTCATGTTCGAGTTTTTTTCTTTGTTAAAATGCCAAAGGCTTGTCTGTCTGTCTGTCTGTCTGGACTCTTGGTTGCGCTGGATCTTCATTGTTGCCCCCAGGCTTTCTCTAGTTGTGGCGAACAGGGGCTACTCTTGTGGAACAGGGGCTCCAGGCACATGGGCTTCAGTAGCTGTGGCGCACGGGCTTAGCTGCTCTGAGGCATGTGGAATATTCCTGGATCAGGGATCAAACCTGTGTTCCCTGCATTGTCAGGTGGGTTCCTACCCACTGTACCACCAGGGAAGTTCCAAAGGCTTGTCTTTTAATGCAGGGTGCTTGGTCTCCATGTGGTGAAGCAGTTTTGAAGGTTTTTTAGCTTTGTTGGATAGCTGGTCACCACATACTTACAAAGCAGGCTTGGAAAATGTGAGTCACTTGTAATGAACCTGTAATTTAAGTAGGACTCTTAGTATTTTCTTTTAAATGCAGCTTTCTTTTTTGTTGGCAGTCTTAAGCATCTTCTGCTGTCTTCATCATTGGGTCTTCCCACCTTTTAAAGAAGCCCTCCAGCGACGTTTGTTTTCTACTCATTTTGGCTAGGGTTAGCTTGTGGGCTTATGAAAACTGAGACAGGTGCGTAGTGTGGGAAAGAGGCCCAGACAGAAGTGGTCAATAAAATAATGGGCGAGCCACAGGCGGACTGAAGTGTCAGATTCTGACTTAAAGCCTGCCACTAGATGCAGCTTAACTGTCACTTGCCACTCACTGATAGGGTTCTGATATGAATCTGCAGTTGATTAGTAATGGTCTCTGTGTGGTCAGACCTCTCTGCTAATGATAGATGTGTATTTGCAGCCACTCCCCACCCTAGCTAGCCTCACTGCCTGGCTCCACCTCGGATTGTCAGCCATTAGATTCTTAGAAAGCGCGCACAGCCTAGATCCCTCGCATGCCCACTTCACAGAAGGGTTTGAGCTCCTATGAGAATCTAAGGCTGCCACTGATCTGACAGGAGGCAGAGCTCAGGCGGTAGTGCAAGCGATGGGGAGCAACTGTAAATACAGATGGATTTGAGTGAACACGTCACTCGCCTGCCAGCCTGCCACCCACCTCCTGCTGTGCCGCCCAATTCCTAACAGGCCAGGGACCGGTACCGATCCATGGTCTGAGGGTTGGAGACCCTGGCTCTAGGAGAAAGAGGGATGTACAGTTTTCACTTCTGAACCTTCAAAGGCAAGACTAGGCCCAGCCAGCCTTCTCGTGCCTTTGGGCCGTGCTTCGCCTTGGTTGAGGAGGATCACAGGATGGAAGGGCATGTGCTTGTGCGACCCTGGGGCGTAAGTACCTGCAGAGATGGGTTCGAACAGTGTGAATTGCCTGGAATGCGGGCAGGGCTGCCTGTTGGTTCCCCTGGTCTTTCTGTCCGCCCTCCCCCAGCTCCCCCACAAAGGGGCGGTCAGGCTGGCCAGGAGCCCAGGCCTGCTTTCCCTGAGAGCTGGGCAGAGAGGCGGTCTGACTTTCCCGTCTTGCTTTCTGTTTCAGTGACATCCCGGAGACTGTGCCTTTGTCAACTGTCAATAGACAGTGTTCGTCGGGGCTCCAGGCGGTGGCCAGCATAGCTGGTAAGTTGTGACTGGGTGGGCACCCATGGCTGCCACCTGGCCTCAGTCCTGGTTCCATGGGCTCAGGTCAGCAGAGTCCTTGCCTGTGGGGCAAGCAGTAATTTCTGAGGACTGTACCCACAGAAAGCATGGAGGAGAGCCCCCCACTGCAGCCCCAGACTTTTCTGAGCACTCCTCGGTCTCCATCTCGGAGGCTGGGGCTGAGTCCCCCTTAGAGACTAGGTGGGGAAGAGGCTCCCCTGTTCCCAAGACAGATGGACTCCGGGGAAGGATGTTTATAAAATGCTTTTGTTGCAGGTGGCATCAGAAATGGGTCTTATGACATTGGCATGGCTTGTGGGTAAGAATTTCTTTCTGCCGGAGCTTATTAACCAACTTGTAACAATGAAACTAATGTTCCTCTCCTGAATTCTCAGAGGCTATGATTTCATGCTTCTCCCTGCAGCCCTTTCAGGCAGCTGGCTGCGAGGTGGTTCCTACAAATTCTGCTTAGAATCAGCCCCCAGCTCTGGCTGTTTGGGAACCACGCACACCTCTCAGCACCAGAGGAAACTGGCTTTGAAGAGCTTTCTTTTCTTGGAAATCTGTCAGGCTGGAGATGTGGGCAAGCATTTTGAGAACACACAGCACAGGGTTCCCGTCTGTGGCAACCCTTGTTGATTCGTGATGGTTGCTGAGAGTGGAAAAAGTAGTTTTGGTTCCCAAAAGCCCAGGACAGCTGCCTGCTCTAGAACTAGTTTGTTCATTTAACAGGCTGTCTGGCCCCCGCCCTGTCCAGGGTGGAAACTTGCGCTGCCTCCTGGGCTCTGAGGGACACGGTCAGGTCTGTGGTGGTTTGGCCCCTGTCAGCTGTGACTCCTCCTCAGCTGCAGCAGACGGAGCCCCCGTGTACTGGGCGGCACTCCAGGGAGGGGAGGCTGGGGTGGGCATCTGGTGCTGGGAGCGCAGGCCGCTTCGGCAGGCTTGGGGGGCCGGCAGCCCCAGGATCCTGACCCGCTCCCTCTGCCTCTCACTTCCTCTTCAGAGCATTTCTTAATCGGAGCCCTGCCGGGCCATCTCGGAGCTGTGCCAGTTGGCACTGGCTGTCCAGCCCCGTGTCAGCAATTGTAGATGAACCCAGAGACCACACCACAGGGACTTTGGCTGGGCAAAGGCCACTGGCCAGGCTGCCCCAGGCTTCTGCTCTCTCACTGGAGGATGGGTGGGGGTGTGTGTGGACTGAGGAGAAGGTTGGAGCCTTCATAAGTTTCTGACGGGGAATCTGAGTCCTCAAGCAGGTGAAAGACCAAATTACAGGGTTTAAGGGTTTGGGCCAGGACAGTCCCCCATGTCACAGGCTGACTGTTCCCCAGACTTTGCTCATGACGAGTGACTCATGATATTGTAGGTGGCAGTGGGCTCTGGAGCCCGACTACCTAAATTTGGTCCCCACTGACAAGTTAACTCGGCTTCTCAGCCTGGCATTGCTCACAGCGCTCTAATACTTGGGAGGAGTTTTCAAATAGTGCTGGGCGCATGAAAAGTGTGCAGAGTTATGGGTTACCACCCTTTGAAGCCTTATATTCTGCCACCTCCTGGAAGCCCTTTGTGACCACACTAACCCACGAGCTCAGCCTTCCCCTCGGCTCCTGCACCTCCTCTTCCAAACAGGTTGGCTTGCTCTTTGACATGTGGCTATTAGAATATTATTGGTCTTGTCTCTTTTCTAGATTTGTGGCCCCTGAGGACAGGGCCTGGGCTTGTTAGAATGTTTGCCCTACTGTGGCCAACACTAAGCCGCTTTCCTTGGGCTGGCTGAAGGAGCAGTTGTCTTGGGAGAGTGAGGCCCTGCCCGGGTGTGTGGGCTCTGCAGTGGTCCGGGGGTCAGGGTGGAGGCGGGGCTCAGCAGCCCTGCACCCCCAGCTCTGTCTGGCCAGCCCGGGGCTCCCTGGCTATTTCCCAGCACTTGCCGGCACCGAGCTGTCTGTGGGGAGCCTGCTAATCACCTCCTCCTCCTCAGGGTGGAGTCCATGTCCCTGGCTGACAGAGGGAACCCTGGAAATATTACTTCACGCGTGGTGGAGAAGGAGAAGGCCAGAGACTGCCTGATTCCTATGGGGTGAGTACCTGCCTCAACTCCCTGCCTGGCCCAGAGCAGGCTTGGATCAGGAGCTTGGATCCCCTTGTGGCCCCCCGCCTCAGGCCTGGCTTGCTCTGCAGGGCCTCTGGGGCTGGGACTTCCTGAGGCCCCCAGTGCACTCTGCGCCCCTGGGTTTCCAAGCATGGCCCAGCCTATCACTCCCACCCTAAGGGGCTCAGTCACACAAGGCCTGATGGCAGCCGCACCCCAAAACCTTGGCCTCAAAAGTCGGGGAGGCGGGAGGCATTTGCCCACCGGCCATGCCGGTGAGGGCATTGGGCCCCAGACAGTGCGGCCTCAAAGGTGCCACCGTCGCAGAGCTGCTGAGCACTGCGGCCAGGGCCACCCCGGGGCCGTGGGCAGGGAGTCCTGGCTCCGCAGGGCATGTGAGGGGACGCGCGGCTGCCTCCACAACAGGGACCATCTCTGAGGGAAGCCTGGGTCAAAGGCCCCGCTGGGGCTCTGGGATGTGGGGAGGCTGCAGCTCCAGGGAACAGAAAGCTGGGTGTGGCCTTCCCACGGGGACCCGGGAGTCCTCGTCTCCTCACAGGAAAGCAGTTTCCCTTGAGGCGCAGAAGCTGGTCAGGCCAGGCGGCGCCCCACCCACGCCCTCCTGGGTGCTGGTCTCTGGTGGACGCGCGCGGAGTCCCAGCTACGGCGCCTCCTACCTGTACCCCTGGCGGCACTGGGACACAGGTCTCCCCGCCACGTCTGCAGCCCCGGGCCGCACACAGACTTGGCGTTCCCCGCCCGTGTTCTAGGATAACCTCAGAGAACGTGGCTAAGCAGTTTGGCATTTCGCGGGAGAAGCAGGATACCTTTGCACTGGCTTCTCAGCAAAAGTGAGTGCTGTCTGGGGTGAGATGTTGAAAGGTCTGGAGTGTAAGCTTTTTGAGGCTGTTCTAAGTGGGCTTCCCAGGTGGCGCTAGTGGTAAAGGACCTGCCTACCAATGCAGGAGACATAAGAGACACGGGTTCAATCCCTGGGTCAGGAAGATCCCCTGGAGGAGGAAGTGGCAACCCACTTCAGTATTCTTGCCTAGAGAATCCTATGGACAGAGGTGCATGGCAGGCTACAGTCCATGGGCTTGCAGAGTCAGACATAACTAAAGCCATTTAGCACATAAGTGGTGTCAGATGGAGCCGCCCTAGGCTACTGCTGGGCAGCAAGTAGTTTCCCAGCCTCTCCCTCCCAGGAGGGGAGGTGGACCAGGGATGGCACCACTGCACACACAGCACCACATCCCGTTATGGCCTGTTTACTGAGTGTCTTTCCCCCTGGTGAACGGGCTGTGGAGGGAGTGGTCTCCAGCCAGGTGGGCCTCTCTGAGGCGGTGGTTCTTAGCCACTTGGGTTCAAGCTCTGATCAGAGTCAGTAAAAGCTGTGGCTTCTTCCCCTGAGAATGCCCCTGGGCCTTTGCATATGATTGCAACAATCACCCTAAAATGCCGTATGCTTTTACACTGTTTAAATACTAAGGTTTATCCAGTAGTTTGGTGTATGTCATTTTTATTATTTTTAAAATATTTGGCTGTGCTGGGTTTCAGTTGTGGTATGTGGGATGTACTGACCAGGGATCGAACCTGGGCCCCCTGCAACCTGGGTCCCCTGGGAGCACGGAGTTGTAGCAGCTGGACCACAGGGAAGTCCCGATGTCATTATAAATATGTCGAAACACAGGAAACAGATGGGATTGGGCTGGTGGGAGGGAACAGAAAAGTCGACAGAAGCCAGCACGAATATTCCTGGGGCTCCAGCCTCAGGTTGGCTTAATCCCTTTTGGGTGAAGGGCTCAGAGGGGAGCCCCCTGCTCAAACCTCCCCCTTGAGGATCTGATAAGGCTGATGACCAGAAAGGCCCTGTGAGGCCCTGGGCTCCCACTCCCCGGGCAGGAGGGGGACCCACAGCAGGCCATCTGCATACTCCCCTGCGGCAAGTGTGTCCCCGCATGTAGCAGCCTGAGCTTGCACATCTGTCCCAAAGGGCAGGGGGCGGGAGCCTCAGGGAGGGACCCCAGGAAGGAAGGTAACCCCATGGGAGCCTGAGCCTGGCTGTCCACGGTGCTGGCAGGGCAGCCAGAGCCCAGAGCCAGGGCTGTTTCCAGGCTGAGATCGTGCCTGTCACCACCACGATCCGTGACGACAAGGGCACAGAGCAAAGCGTCACTGTGGCCCAGGACGAGGGCATCCGCCCCGGCACCACCATGGAGGGCCTGGCCAAGCTGAAGCCCGCCTTTAAGAACGGGGGCTCTACCACAGCTGGTGAGACGGGGCTGGGGGGTGGCGGAGGAAGGGGCTGCTCTAGCTGGATGTTCTCCCCTGGGTGCTGGGCCACCAGGCAGGTGGATGGGGAAGGTGTGGACCACCTCAGCGTGGCCCCCAGGCCCCCCCAACCCTGTGCTTTGCCTCCAGGAAACTCGAGCCAGGTGAGTGATGGGGCCGCTGCCATCCTGCTGGCCAGGAGGTCCAAGGCAGAAGAGTTGGGCCTTCCCATCCTGGGGGTCCTGAGGTCCTATGCGGTGGTCGGGGTCCCGCCTGACATCATGGGCATTGGCCCTGCCTACGCCATCCCGGTCGCTTTGCAGAAAGCAGGTGAGATGGCTCCTTCACCCCCGAGATTCAGACCCAGTTCCTGCTACTCGTGCTGCCGCCTGAGGCAGGTGGGGGACAGGAGCCTGGGGTGGGCCTGCGGGTGCTGCAGAGTGCACCCCGACCCCCAGCCGGGCTCCACGCACCCATCTTGAACAAAGGCAGCCCCAGCAGGCAGCCTACAGGCCATGGATGGGGCAGGGCCCTAGGGAGACTGAGGATCCCGCGAAGGGGGCCGCTGGCTCAGCTCAGGTCTTTCCCCCGGGCCTGCAGGGCTGACGGTGGACGACGTGGACATCTTTGAGATCAACGAGGCCTTTGCCAGTCAGGTGAGCCTTTGTTTTGCAGCGTGGCCTGGGGTCCCCAGTTGGAGCCAGGGGGCTAGGAGCAAAGGGGATCAGAGAGGGGTCCACAGCTGATGCTCCGCCTCCCCCCAGGCTGTGTACTGTGTGGAGAAGCTGAAACTGCCCCCTGAGAAGGTGAACCCTCTGGGGGGTGCAGTGGCCTTGGGCCACCCGCTGGGCTGCACGGGGGCTCGACAGGTCATCACGCTGCTCAACGAGCTGAAGCGTCGCGGGAAGAGGTGAGGCTGGCCCTGTGGGGATGTTGGGGGAGTGTATGTATCCCCGCATGCTCCAAGCTGAGGAGACAGGGGATCCTGGCCTGCAGCAGGCATCTGTCACCCCATGTGTGCACCTGGGGAGCAGGCTGGGGCCCACATGCCCTGAGGTCTGGCGTCCTCTGGGCCCACAAAGGCCCTGGTGCACCCAGCTCAGCCTTCCTGAAGCGAGCTTGGTGGCCGTGCCTCCCCCCAACCGTATGTCTCCTTCCCCAGGGCCTATGGGGTGGTGTCCATGTGCATTGGCACTGGCATGGGAGCCGCTGCTGTCTTTGAATACCCTGGAAACTGAAGCGGCCCACATCGGAGGCGCCGCATGGGAGGGATGGCGAGTCAAGACCCCTGAGCTGATGTGAACACACAACGTGAACAGCTGCCCCAGCACAGGAGCGGGTGAGGAGGCAGGCCCCTCCAGCTAAGACACAGAAAGCTGGCCTGGGTCACCCAGCCCACAAGGCCACCGCGTGATCCCCAGGGAAGGCGCTGTGGATGAGGAGTGCAGCAGACACAGTAAACATGCGGTCTTACCTTGCTGCCTGTGGTTCTTCCCCAGGGCCAGTTCTCACTAGGCTGGTCCCGCCTCTGCTCCACCTGAACACTAACTGCCCTGGTCTCCACCCGGGCGGACCTACCCTTGGATGAGCCCTGAGGACACAAGTGCAGGCCTGGAGGGGTCCCTCCACCCCAGGAGCTGTTCGGAGGCCCCCCAGCAGAGGCCCATGCCCAGTAAACCACTCCTGAGCTCTGGGCCGTGTTTATTTCCAGGACTGGGGGCTGAGGGCAGAGCCTCAGAGCCGGTGCTGGGGGGAAGCATATCTCTCGTCATACGAGCCGCGGCCCCGGAGCCGCAGGGCGCACGGCTTCTCTCCGAGCACGCCCTCCACCACCAGCGTGGACTCGTACAGGTCACAGCTCCTGTGGGAAGCCGGGGCTCACATCAGGAGGGGCCCTAGGCCCAGGGCTCTGGGGGGCAGCGCCAGCCAGGCAGCGGGGGGCCATACCTGGCGGTGAAGGAAACGTGGAGGGTGACAGAGGTGGGGGGCGCATTGACTGGTCGTGCCTCCAGCAGCCCACTGCTTGGGGAGACCCTGAAGGCCACGGGGTCCCTATCTGGCTCCTGCTGGCCTGCAGGGTGGGGAGGACTCGCAGGCGGCTCCACACACTGCCTGCGGCACTGACCCCCACCTCCTGGTGCCTCTGCTCCTGCCCACCACCCCGGAGGGGAACCCCCTGGGGGAGCACTTTGAATGGGGGAAGTGGCTGTCAGCACAGCAATTCCCAGGTGGTCCGGCCCATCAGCACAGGGCCACAGGCCCCTTCCCGGGGGTCTCAGTCTAGCGGAGTTGGGGAGGAGGGCCTAACACACCTGTCAGCACGGCCCAGTAGCTTCGGCAGCCACTCAGGTTCATGAGGTAAACCTCCCGGACCCGGGCCTGGTTCACGAAGCAGGTGCCGAAGTCCACCCAGCTGGTGGAGAGCTGCAGCTCGGGCACGGCCACCACGGCCCGCAGGGGCACCACCTGGGGACAGAGCCGGCCACCCGGGGGAGCAGCAGGGACACGGGACCCTGGACCCTGCCCGCCCCCCGCGCAGCAGCTTCTGAGGAGCCCACAGGCTGCGCCGCCGCTGGAGGGAGGGGGTTCCAGCAGCAAAGGGCCCAGAGAGGCGCTGGCTGCTCCCTTCTCCCCGATCCAGCGCTGTGGTTTCCGCCTCCTTATCCAGCCCTCTGCTCCCCTTGGGCTCTGGGCCTCTCTCCTGAGAAGCTGGTGGGGCTGGGGTGTGGAGCTTGTCACAGCCCACAGAACGGGGCCCATGGCTTTCTCACCTGGTGCACACACAGTCCCAGACAAGCCCCAGAGGCGTCCCTCAGCTGCTCACTGTCGGCATCGTCAGGCCATTCCCTGGCCCTGGCCCCCGTCTTTCTCCATTAAGCAATGTGCAGGCTTCACATGCCACCTCCTCCAGGAAGCCTTCCCTGGTTTCCACCCTCCAGCACCCCACCTGGCTCTGAGCTCCTGAGGCCGATAAGGAGGGAGATGACGCCATCTCTCCACGTGCCAGATGATCGGGGTCGGTCCTCCACTGACTCCACCTGAGCAGAGGTCAGCCCGGTGCCCCTGTCTGCCGTGTGAGCCAGGCTGGGGACTCACCTGGGAGGTCTGGTTGCTGTATGCCAGCAGCAGGTTCTGTGTGAACACCATCTGCTTCTCTCCACTCGGGCTCTGCTCAATGTCCACCCCGGGCAGCATCTGGTCAGCCGGGAGCTTCTGATAGGAGAGCAGCTCCAGGGAGAGCGAGAAGGACACGTTCACCTGAGCAGATTGTGTGTGAGCCGTCACCTCAGGCTGCTGGAGGCGGGCCTCCCTGGGGCTCCGTCCTTCCCTCCCACAGATCCTGCAGGCCCAGCCTGGTCCCCGCTCAGCCTGTGACCCAGCATGGCCTGCAGGCCCTGCTCTGTGCCCAGCAGCCGTCAGGAGCGGAAGGGCCCGGGGAGTGGAGCTGTCCTCCCCTCGGGTGACCAGGGCCGTGTGCAAGCCCACAGGCGCAGGGCAGGCCTGTGTCTGTCTTGAGGGCAGTGCGGAGCCCCAGCTGAGTTTCAAGCATGGGACACGGACTCAGCTCAGCCTTGCTCGGGTCACCCTGGTGGCCACGGGGAGAGGGCTGAGGTATCACTGAGGCCTCACGCGAGGGGCCTTGGACACATGGCTCCCAAACCCAGGTCTGTGGGCCCAGCTCCACAAGCTTACCCAAGGGACCTGTTAGGAATACAGATTCCTAGGCCCCATCCCTGGCCGCCTCATCTCTGGAGGTGGGGCCTGGGAACAGTGTGCCTTATGTTTATGGAAAGACGGTGGTGAAACCCTGCAAGAGGGCAGGTGAGCTGGGAGGGTCTGCGCCACCGGGAGCTGCTATCAGGACCAGGACGTGGGCAGAGGGGATGAAAGGCAGACTGGTGTGTCCAGGGCTCCGGAGGGCGGGCTCTGATGGCATATCTACGTGTGGAGACCCCTGCGTAGAAGGTGTGCTGGGCGTTGTGTGTGTGTGTGTGCATGTGTGTGGGGGGGGTGGGTGTGTGGGGATGTGTGGGACTGTGGGTGTGGGACTGGATGTGTATGTGTGAGACAATGGGTGTGGGACGCTGGGGGTGTGTGTGGGGGGGGACAGTGGGGGTGTGTGTGGGACAGTGGATGTGTATGTGTGAGACAATGGGTGTGGGACGCTGGGGGTGTGTATGTGTGTGGGCAGTGGGGGTGTATGTGTGAGACAATGGGTGTGGGTGTGGGGGACAGTGGGGGGGTGTGTGTGGGACAGTGGGTGTGTGTGGGACAGTGGGGGACAGTGGGGGTATGGGACAGTGGGTGTGTGTGTGTGGGACAGTGGGGGTGTGGGTGTAGGACAGTGGGGGTGTGTGGGGGACAGTGGGGGGGTGTGTGTGGGACAGTGGGTGTGTGTGGGACAGTGGGGGACAGTGGGTGTGTGTGTGGGACAGTGGGGGTGTGGGTGTAGGACAGTGGGGGTGTGTGGGGGACAGTGGGGGTGTGTAGGGGACAGTGGGGGTGTGGGACAGTGGGGGTGTGCGCGCACTCTGGATGGTGTCTTGTCTGTCTGTCTGTCTGCCTGTCTGGGGAGCTAGCCCCTGAGCGTAGGGCGTGGCGGGCCTGCATGCTACCATGTCTGTCTGAGTGCAGCCCTGGGAGGGTGCTGCGTGTCTGTGCTGTCTGTACACACACATGCAGGAACGTGAGAGCAGGGTGCCCCCCCCTCCCCGCCCCGGGGCAGGGACCGCAGATGCTGCCACTGACCAGCATGTTCTCCTGTGGGTGGAGCACCAGCTGCCTGCCCCGTGCTGCCTTCTCCTCCTCACCCTCCTGCTTCCAGCCAGGGGCCCGGGCCCGGGGGCGGCTCGCCCCCTCTTGAGAAACGGAGAAAGGCTTGGAGACCAGGAGCCGGAAGTAGTGAGGGATTTCTGTGGCGTTGGTCAGCTTCAGGTGGTGGGTGGTCACCAGCTCGCTCAGCACCTGGCAACCGCAGGAAGGGGGGACTCAGACCACGAGGCTCTGCCCCTGGAAGGCTGGTGGGGGACACCCTGGTGACGTGGGAGGGCAGGGCGGCTGCACACTCACCCCGGTGCAGGGCTGCTCCGGGATGAGGTCGCTGGCCCGCTGCCAGAACACCATGCTGCCATCGTAGTCCCACTCCACGCTCAGCCTGCCGGCGACAGCCCGGGATGGGCCTCCGGGCCTCACCTGCCCCTGGCCCGCCCCTCCCTCCCACACCCATCCTCTTGTTCCCAAGGCCCAGGCTGGTCCCCAGCAGGGGCAGGAGGCGGGCCAGGCAGCCCTGCCGACTCACTGCGCGGGCCTGACGTAGCCATGCAGGTCCAGCCTCATGGGTCCCACGGCAAAGTCCTGCAGGCGGCGCCTCCGGCCTGGAAGCTCCCTCTCCACCTACCGAGCCCAGGCCCCATCACTGGAGTCCTGAGAGGTGCGGTGGGGGGAAGCCCTCCCCAGGCCCAGATCGCTCACCTCATCGTCCAAGCTCAAGAAGCCCAGGGCATAGCCGACACACTCCACCTTGTGCAGGATGTCAGGGCCCAGCACCACGGGTGTGAAGGAGACGTGGATGGTGCTGCTGCCTCCCGCAGGGACTACCTGGCAGACAGCAGCCTCAGTGCTGGACACACACCCCACCCCCTCCCCACACCCCGACCCCAGCCTTGGTCAGGGGGATGTTCCCTGAAGCTCCCAGCCCCACCCCACTCACCACCTGCTTGGGGCTGATGGCGAACAGGTGGTCAGAGGGCGCCCCCTCGTGCCCTTGCAGGATGACCGAGATAATCTGGGGGGCGCTGGCACTGGAGCTGCCCTCGGCCTGTGGTCAAGGGAGTGGCCGAGGCTCAGCGTGGGCTTGAGACCCGCTGACCCGGCCCAGCAGCCCACCCGCCACCCCTGCTCACAGACGGGGTGGCTCCGTGGCTGGACTCAGACTCGGAGGGACTTGGGGACCAGGAGGAGCCGCTGCTCTCCGGGGTCTCGGGGTACAGGAGGTCGTTCCCAGCGTGGTCGCACAGCGGGAAGGGCGGCCCATAGAACACCAGCAGCTCCAGTAGCCGGTCCTCCCTGTCCTCTGGGGTGTAGGTCTCCCAGTCCAGGCGGATGTCTGGGGCAGATGCAGGGGAGAGGCGAGGAGTAAGGAAAAGCAGACAACTCCTGCCTGGGCCCCACTCCCTGCAGGCCCCAGAGGCCACCAGTTCTGTCAGACTGAGGCTGGTGGGGGCCTCATTTCCCAATG